ATATAAAACTGGAAGGCTGCATTGGCAAACAAAATAGTAAAAACAAAAAACTCCGGAGAGAAGGTAATAAGTTGCCAGGTATATATTTATTTAATAGTTAGCAAACGTTTTCGGTTATCAAGTTTTGTCAATATATATATGTTTAATGTGGGCGGAGTCAAAGTGGAATGAATGACAAGCATTTGGTTCTTACTTGTTTAGATGCAGCATCATGTACTCTAATGTCTCCTTCTTAATTCTTGGCATCTGTTCCAGTAACACTTTAATAGCTCGTGTTTGCTCTTCCTGATTTTGAGTATCTTTAAAGAACATACAAACATTTTTATTAAAATGGGAGTTGGGAGTTATTAATAAATACTTTCTAGGTTTGTGGTCAGAATGACTTAAGGTTGTCTACTCAATAAAACAAATGTTTTTGGTATAATTGTTTGTGCCTGAAAAATACCATAATTGTCCATTACATTTTGGATTGTGAGTATTGGGAGAAGACACTTCTAATCTAATCAATTTTTTTGTTATATATTTAAAATTTAACTTTTTGTTATATATTTGTTATATATTTAGCTTAGTACATGACCAACATGTCTTTACTGTTTCTAATTCCCCCTCCCCCAATTTTTTAGAAATGCTATGTTGTTTACGTAGCAAAATCTCTAATGTCAAATATGAAGTAATTCATAATTATAGTTTGTTTACTGTATTATCTATTAATAATTACATCGACCTATACACTTTATGACTAATGAATAGGCTTGGCTTTTGGCTGGAGTCCAGATATGGTTTAACTGTAGTTGTTGGGAATTGTCTAGACAGAGGGTTGGGAGTGACACAGCAAATACCCATTTGGTTAGTTATGTTTATTAGTAAATACACTAAGGTAAGTTTTCCTTATATGGTTATGTGTGGGTTTTTTTTTAAAGGAGTGCAATGATTGGACAGAAGTGATGATGGATCGGATTAATAATTTGTTATTAGTGATTATGGTTTCACTTTTAATTAATATCAAATTCCAAATTAGGATTAATTATTAAAATTCTTAGAATTATGACAACAGCTATGATTGTTGTCATTACTATTATTGTGGACGCAAGTGGCATAGTGGTAAATCTTAAGGCTTCCAACCAACAGGTTATGGGTTCGATTCCGATTTAGGTCAAATTGCTTGTGTTCTGGCAAGACACTTTATTTACACTTATCTACTTATTTGTATATATTCTGTTAAATAACAGGCTCTTGGAATTGGAAGACAGCCATCTAAACCCCAAAGTTATAGCTCCATTCATTAATTTAATGAAGTATTTATAGGCAATAATAAATATTCCAACAACCACACAAATTGTGTTACAATTGATTAGTTTATGGGATTAGGGAATTGATTAGAAATTAGAATTAATCTGTTGTGGTTATATTTTCCATTCACATAGTAGTACATCTCATATTAAAATGTTACTTCAATTAATCTTTCATGCATAGTATACAAACCTGGAATTGACACATTATCAAATAACAATTTAATAATTATCTAATAACAATTTAATAATTATAAAATAATGATTGGCTGAACCCCCATTTTGACCAGTTTACATCTGTAGTAGTATGTTATAACTTTTTTTAAGTAAACAGTTTTGAGTTAAACTATGTCTATAAGGAACCACCCTTCCCATGAACCTGGATACAGGCCTGAAGAATAACACTATAAGCAATGTTGATGATTTAAAGAATTTTTAGATTTTTAGATGCTAGCAGTACAGAAATAAGAACAGTCATCAGTTGTAATACTAAACATTTTATATCCCATGATCAGTGCAAGCTGGCTCCTCAATGCAAATCCTACCTCAATACATTCAATTTAAAAGTAAATTAAAACTGTGTAAATTAACTAAATCCATGAACTAACACTTACAATAAAATAGAAAAGCTTATATAGGAGCATTTTTAAAGCAAATATAAAATTAAGTTACACATTAGGCCTATCCCACTGCCTTAATAGCAAATAAGAACAGTCATCAGTTGTAATATTAAACATTTTATATCCAATGATCAGTGCAAGATATGTTATCAATAACTGGTTGAGTTCTTCAATGTAAATCCTACCTCTCTCAATATATTAAATTAAAGACTAAATTAAAATTGTGTAAATTAACTAAATCCATGAACTAACACTTACAATAAAATAGAAAAGGAAATTCCGTAGTAGCATTTTTTAAGCAAATATAAAATTGAAGTTACACAATATCCCAGTGCCATAATAATGGATTTTTAGATGCTAGCGGTACAGAAAAAAGAACAGGCATCAATTGTAATATTAAACATTTTATATCCCATGATCAGTGCAAGCTGGCTTATCAATAACTGGTTGGGTTCCTCAATGCAAATTTCACCTCTCTCAATATATTAAATTAAAAACTAAATTAAAATTGTGTAAATTAACTAAATTCCTAAACAAACACTTAAAAATATAATAGAAAAGATTATAGTAGCATTTTGAAGCAAATCTAAAATTGAAGTTACACAATATCTCACACAAATGGAACTTGATTGAAAATTTGACATATTAAAAAATATTCAGGCATATCAAGCATAACAAGCTTTGCAACAAACATTTAAATGCAAATGAAATAAAAAATAATAAAAGAAATTAAAACTAATTACTAAATTAAGATAAAGATATCCCAACCACAAAAGTGAAGCCAGTACTTAATGTGCATATGGGTCTGTGTCAAATTAAAAAAAAAAATCCCTTTTATACATAAAAAAAAAAAAAATATCCCCACAATTACTGAATACATAAAAAAAATATCTAGTTACAAAACTTCAGTAATTTCTTACAGGGACAATAACAGTAATTTAGTATTGACAAAACATGTATAGTAAGGTTACTGATCTTGACTATGTTCATTTCAAAAGCAGAATCTTCAGAGCAAATGGGTTAACTGAGAAATTTATTATTTTTTGATAGCCGCTTCATAATATTGTGATTGCGTTTCGCTTGCGTCCTTGAGCAGCACTCTCTTTTTACCCGGGAACATAAGTGGTTATCCTTGTGGATATTAAACACAAATGCTCTTGTTACTTTTGTAATTATATGCGTTAATTATGGTGTTTAATCCAGGGGCCAGGGTAACATAAGCACATAAAGGACAAGCTAATAGGACATTATAAGACTACCGTTGTTATTATCATCACTAGTATTATTAAGCGCATATCTCAAACTCTATACGCTTAACATTTCAAAATTAATTATTTATTTTATTATTAGAGACACAAAATGGAAATTCAAGTACCGTTGTTACTATCATCACTAGTATTATTGTATATTTATAAAGCGCATATCTAAAACTCTATACGCTTATCATTTCGAAATTAATTATTTTATATTTTACTATTAGAGACACGACATGGAAATTCAACAGACAGAAAAAGATCAAACAAGAATTTAAGGTTAGAAACTATACTTGGTTTGTCAAAACTGAAAGTAATATCAGTATATTAATTAGTGTTCCAATATCACATTATCATTCATTAAAATCCATGCAAAGTATGAGATATCATCCATAACAAACACATTCAACCAAAGTTAGCAAAAATGTAGCATAAGGTGTAGGCTTTTTTGGTATGCAAATGTTAAAATTTGCATATTCATGCATGGCTGCTCAACCATGCTGTGTCTGGAACTGCTACTCACTGATAGGCACCGAGAAATGAAAAGACGTTGGACTCATACAGCCAGCCTCTGTTGACAAACCTCCTTTTTTGGTGTAAAAACAACATGTTATCAAAAATGTGCCTAAATTTTTTTGTTAAGGAAGTTTCAGGAAAATAATATCATATTTTGATATAATTATGAGTAATGAACCAGATTTGAAGACATAATCTTTCGGAATAATAATAACACAAATATAATTAAATCATATTTAAAAAAAATCTAATTATAATTCTAAAACACCTGGTAGACACATGGATATCTGTCTCTTATACACATCTAGATGTGTATAAGAGACAGTATATATATATAATTGGAATAAATTATATTATAAATAATGAGATGAAAAGAGAATGAGGATGTACCTGTACAATATTTTAGAAAGTCTTTTTGGAGTCCGTATGGAATGAGAGGTTCTGGCAGTTTGCTGAAGAACTGCTTTAATGCCGTGCACACTGCTGGTACCGACATACCCATCTCCCACAAGTTTATATCATCATCTGAAAAAACACAAGCAGATAATGTTTAATTATTTTAGAAACTGTTTTATAACTCTTTGTATAACAGGATAATGGGCTTTGCATATGATTGACACTTTGTTTTAACATAATAATAATAACAATAACAACAACAATAATAATAATAATAATAACAATAATGCCAAATATATAGTCACTGGATAACATACAATGGCAAACCAGTACAAAGTGCAAACTTCTCTGCTTCCTGGGGGGTATAGTCGTGCGCTACATGTGCCTAAAACTAACAAAAAATTCTTCTTATAAACCAGTACAAATTATTAACATGGATTTTCTCCATCTGGTTGTTTTGAACTTTAGAAAATAGAATCTACCTGACTTAATAATTCTTAGTTTGACAGTTATCTTCCACATTTTATCAATAATAATAATAATAGTTGGATTTGTAGAGCACATCATGCGAAAAAGCCTCTATGCGCTTGGTGATTGAGCTCTTTGATTTGGACATTTTGAGAAAAAAAAAAAAATTACTATTTGATAGATTTGACTTACCTTTTAAAAATGTTGATGTTATCAAATCACTATCAGCTCCTTTCCCTGGAATTCTGTAAATACCCTCTTGACAAAGACCTTTCGAATGATGTGAGAAAAATATATTTCAGTCATGCTATAAGTTACTCTGATTTCCAATCAGTCAGGCTTTTGGGTGAAAACATTTTTTTGGCCTATTAAATATATAGAAATGTAATTTTATTTTTTACATGCTGTTTGCACTATCTTGTTTGGTCAAAACATCCAGGTATTTGACCAAAACACGTCCAATAAAATATCCATCCTGGTATTTTGATGGATTTGAACACAGAACTCTGGTATTAAAATGCAAGCATCTTAATCTCAACTTGCAGCTCCTCATTAAATGTGTATATAATAAAATATTTTATATTATAATGGTAAAGGTAAAGGTCGAACAACACAACTTGCAGCGTCATTGTGCTGAATTGTGTATGGGCGTGGTCTGCGACTACCTGGCAGCTGTAAAAAGGTGCTTCATGGTAGCTACAAGTTCACATCATTCCACAAAGACAGGGGCTGGAATAAACCACAATATCGGGGTACCCCCTACTTTTTTTTAATGAAATTTCTTCTCTTACCTTCCTCTTCCAAGAACTCGACACATTTAATTACAAACAGTGGCACTGTTTCATCTCCCGTAACGCATTCTTCAATCGGAGGTCGCTTAACCTGAGGTAGCCGAGCAGGAACCTTTTTCTCTTTTCTATATCTTGATTTCTTTTTCTTTAATTTCACAAATGGAAAACAAGATTTCAAGACATGATACATGGGCACTAAAAGGCGACATAGGAGGCGTTGTGTTGAGAAAGGTCAGCAGAATTGTGTGGTTGACTAGATTGCATTATATTTTAACATTTTAACTCGGAGCGAAATTTGCATACTTTTTGTGCCATTGATTTTATTGTATAATGGGCTTTTTATCATATTGTGTTATTTAACTGTATAGTTGTTTTCTTTCTTTTTCAA